GAAGAAGGACAGACAGAACAAAACAAATAACTCACGTGAAGGTCTCTGACCCCAAAGTACCCCCTCCCCTCCCCCCCAGGTTTTCTCTATGAAAGCAGTGAGCTGCAAATATGTTCCAAACTGTTTCTGTAAAACCAAACTTGATCGTGTCGTTTTTATTTAAACATCACTTAACTGGACGCACTCTTGATTGACAGGTGGATCAATGCCATGGCAGTAATCTGGGCGTGGTTATCGACTGTTGTGAGGAGGAGGAAGCTGAGCTGGAAGGTGAAGCTCAAGATTTAACCTCCACAACATTCATTTGGAGAAGTTATCAAAAGTTGTACCGTCCGGAGACAAAACTTCCCATAATTCTTTGCGAGTAACGAGGGGTTTCTCATCCTACCCCTCGTTACTCGGTTCTGAAGAGTCACTACCGTCAGTCACCGCTCGCTTCCTCCACAATGACCCCGATGGCCTCTGAGCCAGCAGCCCTTCAAAATAAACCATCATCTCGACTCCGCCGCCAAGCAAACAGCTCAACCTGGAGAGAAGCCTCCAGAAACAACACGTCCACGGAGGAGACAGAAAAACTCGGAGGCAGATCCATCAAAGCTGCGCCTCTGGTTGGACAGATCAGGCGACGGCGGCAGCTCGTCATTGGCTGAGATGTTCGACAAACGAGTCCGACCTGACGGAGGATAACCGAAGAGAGAGCGAGCACAGAGCCTCTCTGCTCCGTCAGCTGTGTGGTTTGTGTGTTCTGGAGAAGTGACAACAGAGGAAGTCGGTGGAGTTTTACTCGTCATTCGTCAAATGAATCTGAGGCTGAACTCAACTCTGACGAACGCTCGTTCATTCCCACAATAACAACTGCTCTCAAACCAGAAGACCCACCATGAACCCCAACCTGGAAGTTCACGGGATTTTCATCAGGTCAAATACGACCGAGTGAAATTCTATCGAGATAAATACGTTCACATCAGGTCACATCGACGACTGTCAGGATGGATGTTACATTTCTTTCTCCTGAGTGAAGGTTGTGGTTTTAAACGTCTTTACGAGCAGAGACAAGATGAAAATAATCATATTAATCCACCATTGGAGTCACAGAGGTAAATCACAGCACGGCTCTTTACTTTGTCCCACAGTTTTATACATTACTTATATATGAACCTGTAAAAGCTCAAACTCTCTCTTCTCATATCAACAAATAAAAAGTTCCCGAAACTACGTGTCGATAAACTCAATTCATTACTTTGTCATCTCCGTCCAGAACGACGCAATCACACAGCAGCATCCCTGCAGCTCGTGGTGCTCAGCTCTGATTGGCTGAGATGCAAACACACACACACTGACCACAGTCCAGATGAAAGTGACCGCGCTCGCTCTCTGTGGGATTATGTCGCTGTGATTGTTCAGCTTCCTGTTCTCAGACGGAGCCACGTGTCTCGCACCTGCACCTTATTAAAAGATAAAGTGGAAACGATGCCTGTGACATCTCCTCCTGCCGAAAACGGAAATGAGCTTCCAGAGAAACCAGAGAAACCAGCGAGCCGAGCCGCTCGAGGAGGTCGAGCGTTCGTTTTCCCTCCACGCTTCCTCTCCAACATCCAGAGGAGAAGCAGAGAGGAAACATCTGCTTCACCCCAAAAAGAAAAGAACAAACCAAAGGTTGAGGTTTGAATTAAGAGTAACACAAGTTACCAGTGTGTTATATTGTAGAACGTGATGATGTCACAGTCAAGCTGACCTTTGACCTGTGTGTGTGTGTTAAACTTTATATATGATGGATTTCCTGCGCTCTGTGCAGATGTTTACCTTTATCATCTGTGTGTTTTGTTACATCTGTAAAAAACTCTTTTTAAACTGATCTCGGTTAGATATTGAAATAAAAGAAGAGGATGTGATTTGGCAGCGGAGGCAGATTTTCTGAATTCTTGGCTGAAGTTTCAGGAGAATCAGATCCGTGACAGCAGGAACAGTTCTGCCTGAAGGATGAAACCAGATCCAACTTCAATCCAGATAACTGTCCAAAGATCCGTTTATAAAAA